CTCTTATCTCTCCCTCTCGCCTCAGGAGATGAAAGAAAATGTTTTTCTCCCTGAGTCTGGCCTCCATAATTCCATCCCATCACAACTCCACATCTCTGAGACAACCATCCAATCTGTTTGAATACCTCCAGCAAGAGAACTCACCACTCCATGTGGCGACATGTTCCAGTGGCTGACATCTAAATATATCAGGCAGTTTCTCCTAACAGACTTCCAGGGAACTAATGGCGAACTGAAGATGGCTTCACCTTCAGCAGAGCCGACAACCACGGCAGGGCGAGGAGCCAACAAACGGATCAGCACCTCAAAATTCCTCCCCTGGGATCGCCCATAGGGCTCCTTACAGAGGCTCCCCGTGACAAGACCATAAAACAGCCGTCTCGGGCAGGTTTTAGAGCTCTGGGAGCTGGGAGAGTCAGCTTGCCCAAGCTGCAGTTCAGAGCCTTCAAAGAGACACCGGGTTTGCCCGCTTCCTTTCTTAATCACTTCTGTAAATGGCTTGTAAATTGCTTTTTGGATACTAAGAACCTTCAGAAAGATAAGTTTTATTTCACTGGGTGATTTTCCTTCAGTCCTCAATGAAAGAAGTTTCATGTGAGTTTAAGAACTTATAGAATTTTTTTTATTTGGAAATAAGCAGCAAACGGGTGATTAGAATGTTGATTTTGGAAAGTTATAAACAGACTAAGGGGCTAGATTGACTAGAAATAAGATTTTGAAATTAACTATAAGAATCCTTCCTGTGGTTTGTTTAAAATCGGGTGATTAGAATGTTGATTTTGGAAAGTTATAAACAGACTAAGGGGCTAGATTGACTAGAAATAAGATTTTGAAATTAACTATAAGAATCCTTCCTGTGGTTTGTTTAAAATCCTATTAAAAATATATGAAGATCTTGAAGTTAAATGTAAGAAATCTTTCCATGGGAAAATGGTGTGGATTAGAGAAACTTAGTAAAAAGAGACCTTGAAGTCTGGTTTCTAGTGGCAACCAGAAAGAACTAAAGATTACAATTAAAAGAGAAGACCCACTAATACAGAATGGAGAAAAGTATTTTAACTCTGGAAGATTTCAAGGATATTTGGCAACAATGTACTCAACGCTTTCTCTTAGGTTTGTATGATACTATGAAAATGGGTAAAAGAGAAGACCCACTAATACAGAATGGAGAAAAGTATTTTAACTCTGGAAGATTTCAAGGATATTTGGCAACAATGTACTCAACGCTTTCTCTTAGGTTTGTATGATACTATGAAAATGGGTTTTAAAGAGGAGATAGAAGAGGATACCACTGAGAATCAGGCTGTTTTGGATATGGAATACAAGAATGATATTGACAAAGATGCTACACAGGACTTACAAATGAAACTGGCAGATGTTTTAATAGCTATAAGGGACATACAAATAATAAATCAGAAGAGTGACTTGGATATAAGGATTTCAATGCAGAAGAGTGACTTGGACAAATGTCTTATTTTGGACTTACAAAAGAGATGTGTTATACTTGTGAAGGAGTTTCTGAGAAAAGATAATGAGAGAATGAAAAGAAATCAGCTTTTGGGACATTACTTAAAAGGAAAAAAAATCAATCTTTTAAAACCAAAAAGAAGGATTATAAAGTCGGTTTGTTCGATCAAGGTTAAAATACATTTTTTTCTTCTAGTAATTTTTAATGTTTTTTTCTTGACTAGGACTGAATGATGAGACTTAAAGATTTGCTATTAGATAAGATATGGGAAGATTTTTTTGTTGTATGATTAGAGAAAGTGATGGGATACAATGTTAAAATTGAAAGAGTTAAATTTGTGAAGTGATTTCTGAGAGACGACGAAGAGAAAATGATAAGAAATTAATTTGTGGAATATTATTTGAAGGATTTAAAGATTAAGATTTTCTGGTAGCACTTAATGGGTTTTTTAAATTAAGTTTGAACAACAAG